ATCTATGGTGGACATGCCCAGTTGCAAAAAAATACTGGACCAAAATAAAAAAATGGATTGAAGAAATAATAGATCAACCGGTAGACTGGAAACCAGAGATCTTTTTGCTGGGTATCTTAAACAGGAAATATAGTAAAGAAATACGGTATTTAATTCTACATATAATAACAGCAGCTAGAATAACATATGCACAGTTCTGAAAAAATGAGAATATACCATCAGAGGAAGAAGTGATAAAGAAAATCCTGGACTGTGCCAAGATGGACAAATTAACAAAAGAGATAAAATAAAAAGAAGACACAGAATATTATTTAATATGGAGCAAGTGGTATGTCTGGCTAGAAAGTAGAAATAAGAGGGAATAATTGTGGAAAAGTTAAACGTGGAAAATGTGTATATAATAATGTATGAAGGAAGAAAAATGCAAATAAGAAATAATGGGGCAATAAGGATAAATACTTTAAAAAAGAATGAGGGGGAAAATGTAAAAAATAGAAGAATACTGTCACGAAGTTGATGTTAAAATATATATTGTGTATATATGTGTAAAAAAAAAAAAAAAAAAAAAAGAAACAAGGATTTTTCTGTGCACTTTGTCCCATTCACCAGAAGGACATCCATACCTGAAGTATCTCATACATTCATCATAGAGGGCTGAATTCACTTTCACATTCTGGAGTGAGTTTACAAATTCTTAAATGGAGAGTGGATAATTCAGAAATTATTCATATATTACATAGCATAGTGTTTTATATTAATTTTATCTAGTACTTATCTTGCCGTAGTTCTCATGCAGAGAACTATTGTCTGGAGTTACCAGAAGAAAGGAAGCTAGAGTAGAGACTTAAACTGCCCAATGAAATTTAGTTTGATCATACCATCTGCTTCAATATGTAAAAGCCAACTTCTTGAAGTAGGTGCTTTATTGGCCATTGTGATTTTGCAGAAACCTACACCAATGCTCTGTCAGACTTAGCTGATCATATTTATCCCTGCACCTTGGAATGTCTTACCCCAACGAGGCTGTACATTTCAATTCCTCTGGCAAAAATTCCTTTGGCTTAGTCTCATTCAGCTGAGCTTCCAACAGGGACACTCTCTGTATAAGTCTGGCCAAATCTTTGTTGGGCTGGAGATTTGGTGGGCAGAAAGTTCCAAAGCTATCAAATTGCCAGCCTTCATCTTCATCAATCATACTGTGGGAAGGTGAATTGCCCAGAGTGTAGCCTTGCTTCAGTTGGAGTGGCTGATCTCTCACAGAACCATAGTCACTGGTAGTGGATACAGAATGCACACAACTTTGTAAGTTCTGAATAACTTCGTGGAAACTTTGCAATTGCATCTGGAGGGCCTGAATATGCTGGCAGAGAACTGGAGCATCATCAACTTGGCTGACACCCAGGAATGCTTCCTGTTTCGCCTGTCTGTTTAGAGGGGACTCCAGTGATTTCTTCCAAAAGTTTAGTTGCTCATCATGATCTCTGCATTCTGAGTAAAACAAAACAACAACAAAAAAGACTAAGAATTAAGACTAAATAAATAATCAAGGCCTCCAGACTAATTGAGTTTGGATCACAGCAAATTCCAATTTTCTGTATCTCTTTTGTTTGTAAATATCTACAATTTACATGTACAATGATGACCAAAATGGAACTTTGAAATATGTTTTCTGTACCTTCTTATATTAAGAACTCTTTGCTTAAGATTTATTAGGAGTCCTTTATAAGTCAAACAATTGAAAGCATTAAGAATGGCAGCCAGAGGAACATCTTACATTACCAGGGCTTGTAGCTTCGTCCCTGTCAGCCTCATTTTCACTTCTCCCACAGGTTTCATAGCCCAGGTCTTGAATATCCACCTGCATCTGCTTGTTATCATGCTGTACCATAGGTTCACCTGTCACAATATATGTTTCAGTTATTTTCCATTGATCTTCTGCCAGAAATCCAGATGCGCACAAGATAATGCAAATTATATGGCATGCACACTATTAGTTTGGTTTAAAACTTAGTAGGAAAGTCCAGCAAAAGACAGGAATTGTTAAGTGAGGTTTGGAGGACTCTATGTGCACATACTTATGATTACGTACGTTTTTTAAAAAAACACTACAAATTACCATGATAGCAAATTTAGTGAGATTATCCAAAAAGATATTCATGATAGAACCACTAGGTACCACGGATATCTGCCTGTTCAATAAAGAAACTGCACAGGTGGTCTGGAGACATCACTTACTTTTTATGTGAAATGCTTATATGCATGAGGTGGTGGACCTATGTTTTTCAGCTTTGTTTAAACTACTATGAAGACACGCTGTTATGTAATCAATTGCCATTCCAGAAAGTTCTACAGAAAGGAGGAAAGTTCTCTTGAAACATCCCCCTATTGCTGTGCAAGCACTGGGCTTTTTGAAGTTTAGAAATTATTTGGCCACATTGCATATTATGTTTAAAATGAAAGAAGTACATTTTTTTAAAACTTGGATTGAATCTAATTATACAATTTTTGATAATTTTCAGACATCCCTAGCTGAAATATCATGTTTTGTCTACTCCAAAACAGGAAAATAGCTCATTCATTAAAGCTATCAACCACAATAGAATGTTAACACAATTTTCATGTACAGCCTTGCCATTTTTCAACCTTCTCATGGCATTTATTATTATAAGTAATATTGATTTCAATTCACTCTATATATTGATATTTCGATACAAATTGCTAAACTATGCCTTTCAGCATTCTCTTATTTCAGTTTCTCCCTTAAATAATTTCACTGAGTTTATTTTTAATTCCATTCACTCTGAGGATTTCCTTTTGTAAAGCTCTTTTTATCTATTTCAACAAATGTTTTTTATTTCTGTCACAATCCTGCATTCTATGGGTTTCTTTTAATCTTTACTAAAAATGAGGAATATCTGGATGTGAAGTTGGCAAGGAAGCTTTATTATGGGCTCCCTCTTTGGAAGTTCTTCAACTCAACAACATATTCCTTTGGTTTAAGGAGGGACTAAGCAGCTAAAACAAAAATAAAATTAAAATATTAATACTAAACAACACCCCTCTCCACAAACCAGCAAAACAGTACAAATACTTTGTAATTTATCTCTGTTAAATGTAATTCTGTTATTTTTGCCCATTTCTCAAAACTGTTTTGATTTACATTTGTCTCTTCCAGGTATTAACTATTTAGCCTAATTTTATGTCATGTATACATATTAGTACAGTTGATAAGCAATCCCTTCATATTTTCATCCAAGTAATTAAAATATTGAAGAACTATTCAGCTTATCACTTTGGGTTGTAATTTTACTCACTGAGTAGGGCTTTTAATTGTTTGAGCTGGGCTATCTGTGCCTGGATGATGGCTTCTGACACCAAGAGTCTGTCTTGTAATTTGTGACACTGTTGCCTGCATTGGGGTTGTTTGGACTTCTGGACAAAACCACTTGATACTCTGCCTTCTTCAGCCTGCAAGAAGAAACATGAGTGCTTCAACCATCAGAAGAAATGGCCCAATAGATATGGATGGGCTTTGCATTACTTGGCTTAGCCCTAGAAGATATATGGTGTCGGGCCTGCCATCTTCAGCATCTTTCGCTTTGCTGGCATTCAACAATAAAATGCAAGGGAGGGGAGAGACAATTGGGGAAGTAAGGCACGGGATTGAGCAGGAAAAAGGGAGGGAGATGACAGAGTGACAAGAACCAGAGGTGTCGATCTGGACTAAACCAGCTGATCAAGGAAGAAGCCTGAGAATGGTATGTGAAACTATACCAGAGAAGCACCAACTTTCAAAGTCGTTCCCAAAACATCAAAAACAGATACTACTGGACACTAATGGACTGGCCAAGACAGGAGGCCCAGGTGGAAAGGGAAAATTGCAACTTTTGTGTGGGAATATTCAGATCCAGCTTTGCTTTTTCTGTATGCTTGACTTTAGTAAAAAAAACCTTTCACTTCAAGAAATGGAGTCGAGGATCTTTCTTTCCTAAACATCTGAGCCAGCACCAGCCTGACAGATGGATAATGTATGCTGTACACTTGGTCAGGCAGGGATAGTATTTTGCGGATCCCCATCAGCCAAAGAATTTTGACTGGCACAATCTAGGAATGGAGCCTTCTCTGCCGTTGTTTCTGCCTGGTGGAATATGCTCTCTCCAGAGGTGAGGCGGGTTCCATTCTCTCAGCCTTCCAGAAAGCCATAGAAACATGGCTCTTTGCCCTTGTTTGGGGCATGTAATTGAGATGGCAACTGTGGGGTTGGTTGGTGCCCTGATAGCCTTTTCTCCCACCTTAAGAGATTCTTAACATCTCTTACATCTTTTAAATTTTATATTTTTTATCCTTTTATTATTTTACTGTACACTGCCCAGATTCTCGATGAGGGTCTTAAATATGAAAAAATAAATATTCTTTCAGGCGGGTTTATGATGCAGAATAGGCATGGCTAAAGCAAGCAACAGCCACGGCTATTTTAAATTTTTATAAAAAGAATATTGCATTTAATTTGCACTAGTTTGTTTACAAGTAGAACTTGGTAAATGAGCATAGGTGGGTTTTGTTCACTACTCAAATCCCCTTTCCAACAATCAGCCATATTTCCTGGCTATTGAGCATGATTAGTTTTCACTGAGTATTTGAGATTTCTCACACCACCATAATTTAATTCTCTATGATAAAAGATACCAGCAATCCCAGCTTTGGCCTATGAGTAGCAGCTGGAACCTAATTCACAGAGGACCAAGCTTAGACCTTTCTAATATAGATGACCAAAAGGCAGTATGATCCACAGTGAATAGGCATTACTAATTAATGGTGGCAGGTGTTGGTTTAATCCGTTTCTTTAAACTCTGATCATACCTGGGTTTCTTCTGGGCTGCCCATAATTTGATTGGGTGGGCAGTGCAACAATGGTGAATGGTCATGGTGAGCTTGGCAAGTGCACTGCTCTTGCTCATTAATCAGAGCTGTGCTAGCTGTCATCTGGTGAATGATGGTGCCTTTGCATCCTTGGTTTTTTAGATTCAATTGTTCTTTAAGGAGGCCAATCACAATCTCTGAAGTGTGCAGTTTCTCTTGCAGTTTCTTGATATCCCTCCTCAAGTCCTCTTTATCTTCCTTTTCATCCTCTTTCTCCCAAATCTCTGACAACTTTGCTTCTCCAATTTGTTCCTTGAGTTCTGCATTCTCGAGACAAAGACTAAGCAGGGCCTTCCTGTTGAAACACAGAGATTAACACTGAGAATGAAATATTATTTAACACTCAACTGGTGGTTATTCAGTCTACAGATATTTCTTCAGCTATCGCTCTGCCATTAATAACAGAACAAATATTTTGAGACTCCATCAGTTTGAAGATTGCCCCTTTAGTTTGTTTTAGTAAAAAAAGAACAGAGATTCAGTAGCACATTGCCTGCATGTAGAATGTCATCAGTTAGAAATCTGGCAGAAATAAGCTAATTTGTTCTTAATTATTATTTTTATCTCCTTGAGCTATGTACTTTTCTACATGATTCTTAAAAAATAAGCACTTATTTAAAAAGAAAAACTCAGCTGAAAAGTGGGTAAATTGGGAAAAGAAAAATAGTAATTAAACAACAAAAAGAAAAGCCATTTCCCCATATTGCAAACAAGTGGTTTTCTATAAGTCAGGCAACTATTATATGCACCAGGCTATTGAATTTCCTATGTCCTAATACAGGTAGTCCTCAACTTACAACAGTTCATTTAGTGATTGTTCAAAGTTACATCACTGAAAAAAGTGACATAACCAGTTTTCACATGACCATTGCAGCATCCCCATGGTCATGTGATCAAAATTCAGAGAGTTGGCAGCTGACTCACATTCATGATGGTTGCAGTATCATGTGATCACCTTTTGTGACCTAACAAGCAAAGACAATGGGTAAACCAGTTCACTTAACAACCATGTTACTAACTTAACAACAGCAATAATTCAATTTAACAACAGTGGCAAGAAAGGTTGTAAAATGGAGAAAACTCAATGAATGAATGTCTCACTTAGCAACAATTTTGGGCTCAGTTGTGGTCGTTAAGACAAAGTCTAGACCTTAGTGAGTCTGCTAGTATTAGGAAAATGGTCTCTGGAGGACCAAGGAGCTGAACGCTTTGCCCATTGGCGCCTTGTCACTGCCTTTACTCTTCGCTTGTCTGGACTATGAAAAATTACTCCAGCTCCTCTAGAAATGAAGATTGTGATGATCCAAAGTTACAATGGGATGATCAAAAAAGAATGTCTACATTACTGGGAAACAAACAATATTGGATTTTATAAAAAAAAAGAAGAACATCAATTCCTGAAGAAATACCTGGATATTTTTGTCAATGGCAGAAAGGAATTAAGAATATTTTTTCTACATTGTGAGAAAGCTATTGAAATGAAATGGTTAACTGACATGGGACACCATATGATTGGTGTGGAAATCAGTGAAAGTACATTGAAGGACTTTTTTTACAGAACAAAATCTTTCATTTTCAGAAGAAATAATTCCACAAATCTCTGGAGCTAAATTATTAAAATGCACATCTCTAAATATTTGTCTGTATTGTAATTTCTACTATTTGACCAGCTCTGTGACTGGTCATTTTGATGGGATTTGGAACAGAGGATCTCTAGTCTGTTAACCCTTCTGAGAGAGAATGCTATGTTTAGTTGATGCTATCACTAATGAACAGGATGTATCGCTTTTTTTCCTATTTGTTGTATGATACAAGGAAACAAAAAGGCTATCATTCTGTTTCTGATTCAGATATGAAAGGTTTATTTAGAAAAAAGTGATATTCAATGTCTTGAAAAAGTCTATGGTTTGGAAGAGTGACATAAGAAGTAGGATTTAGATTATTTATGGGAAGTTTTATATTTGATCATATTGAAAGAATTGAGATGACTCCCAGACCTACCCCAACGAACCACTTCGTTGCCAGGCACCATAATATTTCTCATAATCAATCATTCTCAAGATATTTTCTTCTATTACTAATATGTCTCAGGATAATTTTTTCTTGAAATTTGCCTTTGTAAATAAACCTACATTGTTAAAATGGAAATTATAATTTGGGGGTGGGGGTTATTATTTTATTATTTTAATTTCTACATTGTGTTTTTATTTTCTGTAAGCCGCCTAGAATCACTGCAAGTATGTAGGCAGCTATATAAATTTTTATAAAGAGAAAGAAAGAGAGAGAGTCCTCTGCTGTTCACCCTGTTGACCCATGACTGTTGTGCTAGGTTTGCCACCAACCATATTGGAGAGGGAGAGAAAAAAAGACCTTGGAGAAAAAGTCAGAAGAGAAAGGGCTTTTGTCAGAGAAGCAGTGAGAGGCAGAGAGGAAAGGCTTTTGGGGAGAAGTGTGTGTGTGAGAGAGAGAAGCAGAGAGGAAAGGCTTTTGGGGAAAAGTGTGTGTGTGTGTGTGTGTGTGTGTGTGTGTGTGTGTGTGTGTGAGAGAGAGAGAGAGAGAGAGAGAGAGCTAAAATATAAATTGTTATTTTAAAGCTGAATGCTGAGCCTGTACGTATGCAAATTTTAATGCTTGTATTTTACCTATTGTCTTCTTTGACTTGATGATTAGATTAGTGGACCAAGAGAATACTGTGGATGCAGTATACTTCAACTTCCTCTGCCCATTATTGTCCAGCTTCTTAAAAAATGACTTAGATTAGGGAAAACAAGCATGTTCATAAAACGTATGGATGACATAAAATTGGTAGAAATTGGTAATACATCTGAAGACAGGCTCAAGATTCAAAAAGATTTGGATAAACTTAAATATTGGATCTATCTGTAAGGACCCACTTCAATGCACATCTTAAGAAAGCAGAACTCTTGGAAATGGTCTCTTCCAACAGGAACTTTTATTAAAAGAAACTGATAGCGGGCATGATAGACAGGATCTGAGGGATTCCCTTACAATGCGATGTTTTAAATTGTCCCTAAGCAGCCCCCCACCTCGCAGTTCTTCCGGGTGATTCAAACCGGCAGATTTCTAGGTGTTAACTCCAGGAGACATAACATCGATCTGGCTTCGTTGGGCATGATCATTCAACAGCTCCTCACACAGAACCCAGATGCTGCATCTTCCCCCCCCCCTTTCTCTCGCTGGCCAGTAAGGAGGAGAGCTTCAGAGGGGCATAGGATGAAAGGCAAATGGCTACATTGTTATGGTTAGCAGATCCAAAGCAAATCAACAAAAGGTTACTTTGTAGTGAATAGAGGAAGTGAAAGTAATAAAACCCCTATGCATACCTCCCTCCCCCTTAGTAGTATGACAGGATCCAGGAGAGAGTAAAATTGGTTTTATATCAGAGAAGATAGATAGAAATGAAATATAACTGGATTCTGACATCCTGCCCCCCTTAAAAATAAGAGAGATCCACCTGTAAAGAAAACAAAACAGGTATAAAAGTTAGTCTGGCTTGTTAGGATACTCTGTATGAAACTTCTTTAATAGCTTCAGGGCTCTGACATAACGTTTATGGACCCACTCGTTTTGTGAGGAGGGGAAGTGTTTCCATGCTACTAGGTATTGAGTTGTCCCATGATATCTCCTAGAGTCTAGGATTTCCTTTATTTCAAAGTGTTGTTCTCCTTCCACCATGATTGGAGGTGGTGGTGGGGATTTTTGGTCGTAAGGGTGACTGTTGTTCTCTTTTCAGCAAACTGCAGTGAAAAATTGGGTGTATTTGCCTGAGATTTTTGGGTAATTTTAATTCTACTGTTACTGGGTTTATGATTCTTTTAATTGGAAAAGGTCCTATATATTTTGGTCCAGGTTTTTTACAGGGTTGTAGGGATTTTAGTTATTTTGTAGACAAATATACCATTTCTCCTATAATGAATGGTGTGGGTTCAACCCTTTTTTTATCTGCTTGTGCTTTGTATGCTTGCCTAGCTTCGTCTAGTGCTTTTCTAACTATTGGCCAGGTGTTTTGTAATTGTTCTATCCATTCTTTCAGTGATGGGATTGCCGGTTCGTTTGGGATTAATTCTGGCATAGGGTTGAAACTTTGACGGGTAGCTATTTGAAAAGGAGTGTAACCGGTTCGTTTGGGGTCAGTTCCGGCATAGGGTTAAAACTTTGATTGGTGGCTAATTGAAAGCGAGTGTAGCCTGTGCTGGAGTGGACTGCATTATTGTAGGCAACTTCTGCGAAAGGGAGTAGGTCCGTCCAATTCGACTGATGGAAATTAATAAAGCATCTTAAATATTGCTCAAGTACTGAGTTAGATTTCTCTGATTGACCGTTCCCTTGAGGATGATGACTAGATGTCAGTCCCTGAGTGGTCCCTAAAAGGGATAAAAATTTCTTCCAAAATGCAGACGTAAATTGCACTCCCCTATCAGATATGTTGGGGTGCCCTATGCAATCTGTAAATATGCTGCATGAAAAGTTTTGCGAAGGCCTTTGCGGTGGGAATCTTTTGGCAAGGGATGTAGTGCACCTGTTTGGAAAACAAGTCCGTGACCATCCAGATGATAGTATTCCCATTGCTTTCTGGTAATTCCACTATAAAATCCATGGCTATTTCCCTCCAGGGGGCCGAGGGATTTGTCACTGTTTGTAACAGTCTGGGCAATTTCTTTTGCAACCTCTTTGCAGTTGCGCACATTGGGCAGCTGGCCACGTAACTTTCTATGTCCTTTTTCATGGATGGCCACCAAAATTTCCTTTTAATTAAGTGTAATGTTTTTACAAATCCAAAATGCCCGGCTGATTTTGTGTCATGGCAAAGCTGCATGACTGTGACCCTCTGGGGGGTTGGTATATATAACGTTTCCCACATCCAAGGCAGTCCGTCCTTAATTATGCACACGTGTCTATTTTTCTGGAACCATTCATCTGTTTCCAACGTTTTCCGGAATTCAATTCCGGTTTGGCTACCCAGCTGCAGTTTTAATTTAGCTTGGGCTCTGGTAGTTACTGGCACTGCCAGTTGTGATTCCGCCATAAGTGGTTTAGAGTCGGTGGCTCGCGTGCTGTTATATTGGGGCATGCGAAACAGTGCATCTGCCAAGAAGTTCTTCCCCCCTGGCAAGTGCTTGAGCGTAATTGGTGAAAATGTTGGGACCAGCAGGCTTGCTTAGGGTTGAGCTTCCTGGGTTTTTCAAGGCTTCCAGGTTTTTGTGGTCTGTCCACACCTGAAAAGGGATCTTATTCCCTTCCAG